TTCTGGACTCCTGTCATGACAATAATACCTAATCATATATCCCTTTTAAACAGTTTTCTCCCTCATATGTTTCAGTTATGCCCAGTTTTACAGTGTTTTAATATTTCTTGTTATTGTTGCTGTTATGTGCCACTGAGTCACCTGCGACCCATATCAACCCTACGTATAATAATAGCTCTGGAGCCTGCCCTATCCTGAGCCAGTCTCATTGCCTCTGATACACCTGGCCCCATTACTCCAGTTACTGGGTCAATCTATCTCATCCAGGGTCTTCTGCACATTCATACATTATACATATTCAATCAAATGAAAATGAACAAAAAGTCATTTACTTCTCATTATTATTTTGTGTTAAAATCATTATGGTAAACACAATGACACTTAATAGTTAATGTCACAAACCTGGATGAAGTCAAATATGGTGAGAGGGAGAAGATCATCCAAAATTGCTATATCTTTGGAAAATCTGTTAAGAATTCCACCTGTAACACAAAGAATAAATTCCTCAAAACTCACTATTTTAAGAAAGACATAGCAATAAACTTAACCCTAAAATCAGAGATTAACAGAAGCATTCAGAATTCAAGTAAGAATTAAAATATAATTTGGTAAAAAGGGACTTATGTTTTAGTGTTCTACAAAAAATCCTAAATAGCTGTACATTCAAGTTACTGTTTCCTATTTTTAAGCCATTATTAAATACAGATTTCTATAAAAGTGCAGTATAAACCAATGTCTTAAATTAGAAAACTAAACCTGATGTTACTGAGTCTATTCTGACTCCCAGTGACCACATACAATAGAGAAGAACTGCCCCACTAAGTTTCTTAGGCTGTAAGTCTATGGACACAGACTGCCACATCTTTTTCTCTTGGATTTGAACCACCAACCTTCTGGTTAGCAGCCAAGTGCCTAATCACTGTGCTGACAGAGCATTTATTGTCATGACTAGGATCTCTATTACATATAATGACAGAAATGGGTGCTCACTACTTATCCTGACACTGATAACCCTGAGTTTAATGATATTTAATGGCCACCATTTGTCTTACATCTTCCCATTCCAGTATCACATATCTCTTCAGCTCCTTGGATTTCTATACCTTTTAACACAGTCTGGTGACCTAGTGGTAAGTGGTGGGCTGCCAACCCAAAGGCAGGTCAACTAGCTGTTCCAGGGCAGAATATTGGGCAATCTTGTCCTATACGATTTACAGTCTCTGAAAACTCACTTGAAGGTCAGCTGATTCTGACTCAACAGTATTGAGTTGAGTTTGAGTAAAGGTACTAGTGGTTACCTCTGACTGTCCAAACCTTACATGGGTCAATTATGTGATGCTTTCTTTGTCTTTACCTTCTTGACTGGCAACCTAAGCTTTCAACTGTCTTTTAACCTTTAGATTTACATTTCAAAGTCTGATCACACATCCCTTCAATGAGAAGTGATATATGGAGTGTTTACCTGTGCCAGGCAGAGAGTTAGGCCCTGAGATAACAAGTAATGAGCTGTGTTCCTTTCCCTTGAAGAATTCATGGTCTGGGGGTGAGTTAAGTATATAATTAGGTAAAATGTAACCTAATATTCTACATGCAGAGAGATATTGAATCTTATCATTCATCCCCCATTAACTGCAGGATAAAGTTCAAAAGGCTTCGTTTAATATTTAATGCTTTCTATTATTGGGCCTGAAGTCTCAAGCCAGCATGAGCGTCTCCTAATGAAAGATTCTGTTTAAGTCAAACTGGCCTATTCTTTAGATACCAGCTGTACTACCACACAAATCTCTGCCATCCGCTATGTGACTCCCTCTACCAGAAAGCCCTTTCCTCTCAGCTCCACTTGAGAAAATCTGTCACTTTTCCCCAGCTCAAGGCATCCCTCTTTGCAAAGATGTGTCAGAACCAGCACCAGCTGGCATAAATCTCTTCCTCCTTTCGACACATGCAATACATTTTTGCCACATCTGTCAGCACTTCTGTGTTATACTGATTATGTGTTATATGCCTTATATCATATTTTGCCTATGTCTTATGTTTTTCTACACTGAAAATTGCTAGAGGCCAGAGACGATGTTTCTTTAAAAAAAAATCACCATATCATCAAGCAAAGAACCTTATATGTGTAGAAATCACTTATTATATATGTACTGATTACCCTCTTAGCCTGTTTTTTATAAGATTTCTTCAGCATATTTAGTTATATATGTGTGTCTATCTTTATTTGTGTGTGTGTGTGTGTGTGTGTGTGTGTGTGTGCGCGCGCGCGCGCGCGCATGCGCGCACATACCATCAAATCAGATCTGAGTGGTACAGGAGGAGATTGACCCTCCCTCAAGGAGAGCATCTGGTGGATTCAAACCACGTACATCTGGGATTGCAGTGCAGCTTCTTGCCATTAGGCCATCAGAGCTCCCTGTGTGTGTATCACTAAATAAGTGGAAATTGGAACAATTACAAAGCCTGTCTAGGAAAGAAAAACTGGCCTTGTGATAGAGATATGGCAATGCCAATGAAGATGTAGCTGTAGCTCTATACACGTAGATCAGATATGTTGTTGTTGTTATATATCATCAAGTCAGAGAGTCAAAGCTGACTCTCCAAAGGGTTTTCAGAAGCAGTAAATCACATGGGAGATTATTGCCCATCCATCCTTCTCCCTAGGAGTATCTAGTGGGTCTAAACCACATGCCTTTGATTTGACAACACAACTCCTTACCTTCAATCTACCAGAGCTCTAGATATAAATATAGAAATACAGGTATCTACATCTAAATATGGATATACACACAAATATACATATTGGTTTTTTACCTTTACAGTTGATAGTGTTTTATCCAAATATACATCCACTTTTCTATTTGTTCAACATATTTTATTAGCACCTACTATGCGTTTATATACCCAAAAGTTGTATTTACATGGTTTAAGATCATTTAAAAGAGACATAGGAAAATCAGGAAAGGAGTCAGAGGAAGTCAAGGTCAATGTGCAGCTGCAGAAGGGCACACCCAGTAGAAAGTGCAAGTGCGCGGAAGAACCAACAAAGCACTGGCTGCTGTTAACCAGAGCAGAGAACACCCAGGCTGCTCGGTGAGAACAAATGAATCATGAATGAGTAATAGAATGAGTTTTCAAAGAATGCACACAATTTTCAAAATATCTGAGTATAGAAATTTGGGAAGGAGGCAAAACATGGCAGCAAAAGCATGCATAGATGTTGTAGGATCATTTTTCTACTTCAGTTCTTAACAATGTAAATAAGGAAGGGTGCAAAAAATTGAGAGTTATTTAAGCATCATCTTACAAAGCGGGTTACAGCATGAGAAAGCAGGACAAGTAAAAAGAATAAAATAGCTAGTGCTTATTTAAGTCTAAAATAGAGAGCTTAGAATTAGGTATGAGGGAATGAGGGACCATGAAAGGCGGAGGGGTGGAATGGAAAGTGAACCCCACGGGAATCCAGAAGGGAAGAGTGCTGGAATAGCAACAGAACATCTAATGTGTTTGGGCCATGTAATTGGCAAAGAGACTGCCTTGTTTCCTTCTCATACCTTCTTTGGAGACAGTTTTGTCTGCATTCTATGGAGGAGAAAGTCATGGCCCAGAAGAATAACTCCTAGATCACATCATGGATGGGGTCAAGACAGACCTCCAAGTCCATGCTCTTCTCATCACATTTCATTATCCATTCTCACTCTGCCAGTTACTGGGCAAGTCCCCGACATGTCTGGGCCTCAATTATTCCATGACAAGTGAAAGCAAAGGATAAATTAATGTGAAAGCCCTTTCTAGTTTATAATATCTTTGTTCTGGCACAAAGGATAGTGATGAGTATATCCCATGGCTTTGGAAACAAGGTTTCAAAATAAATATTAGGAAGATATTCCTGACTATTGTTCTTGTTGTTGGGAGCAGTTGAGTCAATGGAGCAGAACTACCCAATAAGATTTCTTGGGCTATAAACTCAGGTGAAGTTCTGGTGGAAGAGTGGTTAAACACTTAGCTACAAACCAGAAGGCTGGGGGTTTGAACCATCTGCTCCACAGACAAAAGATGTGGTAGTCTTGTTCTGTATAAGATTACAAACTTGGAAACCTTGTAGATTTGCTCTGTCCCGCACAAAGGGTTTATGACTCTGAATCAGCTCAATTGCAATGAGTGTGGATATATTGTTTGTATTGCCTTTTAATCTTCCTGGGAGGAGGTCATCAAATCATTCCCCTAGAGAACTGCTAAATTGTTCTCAAGCACCAACCTTTCCATTAGTGTCCCAAATGTTTAATCATAGTCATGTCAGGGCTACTTTCCCAAATACTAACTTGTAAAACTTTGTTACCCAGAAAAGTCAGGGGTTTTTCCTTCTCTTGGTGTTTTTTACACTATCACTTTGGTTGGACTTATTCTTTGGCTTCTCATATTTCTGTGTTTTATGCTTCTTTAGAATATGCTATTTCTCCTGATCTGAGAGTCTTCTGGGGCATGAACTGGTTCTTACACAGCCCAGGTCCTAGTTCCATGTCACACATATTAAGTGCTCAAGAGGCTGAAGAAAATTTGGTGTTTGGGGGGCAGCAGATCCTTGTTAACCTTGGAATCTTCAAATGGGAATTTGTAGAAAGGAGAATCAATTAAACTGATAGCCTTTCAATGGTTTCTCATTTGAAAAACCATTGTCACGCACGCATGTTGCTACAGGCTAGTTTCAAGGGAGTTCCAGACTAAGACGGACTAAGAAGAAAGATCTGGTAATCTACTTCAGCAAAAAAAAAAAAAAAAAAAGAAAGAAAGAAAGATCTGGTAATCTACTTCGGCCAGTGAAAACCTCGTGGAGTGCAGTGATCCAATCTACGTATGATCATGGAGACGGCACAGAGCTGTGTTCAATCCACTGAGCACAAAATCCGATTACACAGTCCCATCAGCATCAAGTTCTAACCCATTAAACTATGCTCTTCAGTTGTTAGAGCGAGGTCAGGAGCAACAATTCATGAAACAGCACATGACATCTGAGAAAAGCAGGCCAGTTATGAGGAGGAAACATGACATGTCAATAAACCACAGGCACTACAGACCACGGCCCAGCAGTTTCAAGTTGAGTACCTAATCAAGTACCTGCTTTCAGTGTGTTGAGGGTTGACATAGGTGCATGGAGAACAGAATGTAACATTTTTTGGTGTAAAATTTTCGACACTTTGATTAGTGAATGCACCAGGGGTAAACCTCTGAGGAATCCCAGAGCAAGCAAAGAGTCGGCTACTCCCACATAAATGTAAAAAACATAAAACGAGCTGGTGCTGGTGATGATCACGCCACGGCTGCTGTTTGCACCCACAGTAGTATTATTACCATTGACTTGAAAAGGTGATCTGGAAAATAAAAGGAACATTGTTATTAGGCAACCAAGTTTGTCTCCCAAGTTTCCAATGTGTCCAGATGAAATGAAATATGAGTCTGAAGAAATACAATAAATGTTATTAGCAGAGCTAGTCCCTTTCATCTCAAAGATGTATTGTTGTAAGAAAGTAAAATGTTCTCACCATTAAAAATGGAGGAAGGGTGTCTTTATCAGAATAAAATAAGTAGAGAAAATATTTCATACATATTGTTGTTTCAAAATTTTTCCTTACATTTCATGCAAAACAGGACCCAAATAATACCTTTAGAAGTTGCGAAGGGCTGTAGGAACCTCACAGGCAATTGTTTGCAATTTTAACCAAAATAATTATATTCTCTAGATAGTTGTATGCTACTTGTGGGCAATGGCATTAACTGGATATTAAAATATTTAATAACACTCAAATTATCAAAAAGAACAAATAAAAATCCACAAGAGAACAGGGAATACTCACGTCTTAAGTAGCCACAAAACAACCAGAGAAATAGCCACCTAGAATGAAACAATGCACAATTGATATTTTTCCCAATATCTTTACCTATTCTTCCTACACTTTCTTCACATTCTCTCATGACCAGCATCAAAGTACACACAATTTCAGTTTCTTTTGCTTTGTTTTCTTGGATCTAGTAGCTGCAATGATTGTGCTGAACATCATTATGTATAATGACAACATGTTAAGTTAATGGAATTAAGATTTCACTGACATAAATAGTCATTATCATTCTTCACTCAGTAGGAAACTAATCATTGAACTTCACAGAAGAGCTATGGTTTCAGTTAAACTTTGTTTCATATACATATGTATTTCTATATATATTTGTTATTGTCGTTATGTACTACAGAGTCAGAACTAGTTCATAGCTGACCCTCCAGCAGGTTTTCAAGGATGGCATATCACACAGGAGGAGACTGCCCATCTTACTCCCATGTTTGCAACTGGTAGATTCAACCCAGCTGCTTTTGGTTTGGCAGCAGCAAAACTATTTAACACTAAGCCCTATGTAATATATATATATAGTTATA